TTTAGCAGGTTTTTCTGGTTTCTTTTGTTATTTATTTCCAGTTTCATTGCATTGTGGTCAGATAATATGCATGGGATCATTTCTGTTTTCTTGCATATACTTAAGCATGACTTATGTACTAGTATGTGATCTATTTTAGAAAATGATCCGTGTGCAGCTGTAAAAAATGTGTATTCTGCTGTGGTTGGGTGGAACACTCTGTATGTCTACCAAGTTCATTTATTCCAAGTTCTGGTTCAGTTGTGCTACTTCTTTCCTAATTTTTTGTCTGATTGCTCTATTTGTGATAAGGGGGTGTTAAGGTCTCCTGTTAAGATTATTGTATTCGATATTAGATTTTTCATGTCTATTAAAGTTTGTCTTATATAGTTTGGGGCTCCTGTGTTTGGTGCATACATATTTATGATTGTTATTTCTTTCTCTTGAATTCTTCCTCTAACTAGTATATAGTGACCTTCTTTATTTCATTTGATCACTTTTGGTTTGAAGTTGAGACTGTCTGAGATCAAGATTGCTACCCCTACTTTTTTCTGAACTGTTGGGACATGTGATATTGTTTTCCATCCTTTGACTTTCAGCCTGTGAGTTTCTTTATGAGTTAAATGTGTTTCTTGTATACAACATATTGTTGGGCTTTTTTCCTAATCCACTGTGCCAATCTATTTCTCTTAATTGGTGAATTGAGTCCATTTACATTGATGGTTTTTATTGAGATGTGCTGACTTATGATTGACATGTTATTTGAATGCTGTTTTGTAACTGTTTTTTCTCCTGTGTTTAATTGTTTGTCCTGTTTAATGGGTTTCTTCTGTTCTCGTTGGTGGAGTTCTGATCATTTTGGTCCCTCTCTAGAACATCTTTCAGTAGTCTGTGTAGGGTTGGCTTTGCCATCATGAAATTCTTTAGTTGTTCTTTGTCATGAAAGTATTTCACTTCTCCATCAAACTTGAAAGAGAGTTTTTCAGGGTATAGTAGTCTGGGCTGGAATTTGTTTTCGTAGAGGACTTGAAGTACTCTGCTCCATGCTCTTCTTGCCTTCATGGTGTGTGAAGAGAAGTCAGCTGTAATTTTGATGGGTTTTCCTTTGAATGTGATCTACTTCTTTTCTCTAGCAGCTTTCAGTATGATATTCTTGTGTTGGATTTCTGGGATCTTGACTGTTATATGTCTTGGTGTGTTTTTAATTGGGTTGAAGTTATTTGGAGTTCTGTATGCTTCGGTTACGTGAGTATCAGATTGTTTCATCATATTTGGGAAGTTTTCTGCTATTACTTCTGCCCGTATTCTTTTTATATCATTTGTATTGACTCCTTCTTTCTCATTGATGCCTATTAGTCTCACACATTGTTCATCTTTGCATTGTCTTGCAGGTGATGAATTATTCTTTCCTGCATCCTAGTTGTTTTTAAGAGATCCTTTCTTACCTTTTCACTAGCTGCACCAGCATCTTCAAGATCTGAAACTCTATCTTCTCTTTTGCTCAAATGGTTTTTCAGGCTTGTAATTAAGATTTTAAGGTCCTCTACATCTCTTTGACTCTGCTTCATGCGATCTATTTCTTTTCTGTATTGCTCATTCAAGGAATCCATCATTTCTTAATCTCCTGTATTTTTTTATCAATGTCTTCTTTGGAAGCAGTTATTAATTCTTTTACTGCAGGGTTTTTTACAGATTGGGTTTCCTCTTTATGTTTCTGTATTTGATTCTTTAGTTCAAGTGCTATAAATTTAGAGATTTCTTTTTTCATTTCAGACTCTAATTCTGCTTTGAGTTCCTTTAAACCTTTCTGTAGTTGCTTATTTACTTCTGACGCTATTAATTCATGTATTTCAGCTAAGCTAGTGTCCACTGCATTTGTTCTGGCTGGGCATTG